AGGATCGCGTTGGAAAATTCGATCGAGGGAAATGGATTTTTCACACGGTGAAAGTGGTGTACCGAGGCCCGAGGTCGGCCGGTTTCGACGGAAGGAAGGACGTTTTCCAATTCGCCGATTATCCCGTGAAACATGATATTTCGCGCGATACTCAACAATCATTTTCCATCGCCGTCGGGAAAACGAGCGACGTAAAAGGGCTCTTCGACTTCGTAAAATCTAATGAGGGAAAGTCGAGAGAGACGAGATAGAGAGAAAGGGGGAGGGAGAAAGAGAGAGAGCGCGTTCGATCGAATCGAATTTGGAAGAATTCGGTCGAGCTCGATTCTCAGAAGTGCCGGTCGGAAAATTTTGCATCCCTCCCCTGGATGATCCACGGTCCAACGCCGCTGCAATTTTCGCGAACAATCGTCCCGTCGATCGAACGGCGATACACGATCACCGGTCAAACGCGATGAAAATTCGGCGATTGGAAACTCGTCGACAGGGGATCCACCACCTTGGTGATCCTCCATGTGCCACGTATGGATGGATCTCGAGATAGAAATTCGATTATCATCTCTCTTGGAATTGGGCACGCACCGTTGCCCACGCCTCCTGGAAACGCCACCAAAGGGGACTCACCATCCCCTTATGATCGAATCAGCAAGGAAATTGAATTTTTCCGTATCTCCGCCATCGATCTTTGCCGACTTATCGTCCCGGAAAAATGAGTCCCGAGGTAACGAGAGAGAGTAACGAAAGGAATTGTGTTTTCGATGATGAAGTGCGCGAGTCTGGTGGCCATCCTCGACGATTTACAGCAACGATTAAACCGCGAAAATATTCCCTCCCCCTCTTTCCCACCTCAGCTCAGTAGCGCGTGAATTTATTAGATTTCCAGCCCAAGTTTGCAAGATTTACCGGTGGAAATTCGTGCGCGTGGAAATCGTTTCTTAACGAATTCTGTGTGATTTATCGCCTTTCGTATTATAATTTTCGAGGGGAGGTTGAAGGGGAAGGGCTCGGTCGATCGACGGGTAATTTATTACGTGATCCAATTCCCTGATCCCAATGTCCTCGCCCATCGGGGAGGGAGAGCCCACCGCCATTCTGAAATCGGTCCTCCTCGCCCCCGTTTGTCCTTGAACGAGAAGAATCTCCTCGCCAAACTTTTCCATCCCTCCCTCCATCCCTCCATCCTCGCAAATCCCTCTCCCTTTTTTCTCTTCCAAACAAGAAAAAACCTTTCGTCGCGAATCATCGCGCACTCCTCGCTCGATTCCTTTTCTCCGACGCGCTTCCTCCGATTTTCCATTTCCTTCGGCCCGA